ATACTTTTGTGGTTGACAAATTTAGAGGTTCCCCGTCCCATGGATCATCTAGACGTTTTCCCCAACCAAAAGATTAGACCTGAAACGAGTGAGGCGAAGTCACGTTGGACTCTGGGAACTCCATGAGGTGCTCCAGCCACACGGTCTTGCTCACGTCTTCGTAGAACGTCTGCCATTCCCACCACATCCGTGGGAGTTGGCTGGACCCCACAAAGATGTTCCCAAGGGCCATCTAATTTTGGGAGGCAATCGCTATCGCGGTATTGTGCCAAACAAAAGAACCGTATTTGGGGATGCGCCAAATGAGCATTTCAAATCGGACCTCGACGAAAACCGACAGGACCAAGTTCTGAATCCCAGACCCTTGGTTGGTGAAAAGAGGGCACTTCATCGGATCCTCAGTCTGGCAGCCATAGCCCCGGTCAAAATGAGCAGTGGCCTAGGACAAGGCAATCGCCCCCTGGGTGGTTGAAATTTAGAGCTCATCCCGCAATGTACATCCCAAATGGATAGACCACTGCAGTGTAGACCGAACTTTCAAAGCTACTCGCAGACTGGTCGACTAAGTGGACGCCTGAACCCCTCAAATTTTCTCCTGGTGATGGTGCCCTGAACCGTGGGAAGGGGTAGTTTGTGGGGGGGGTTGCTATTTTGGGTCCCAGTATGTTGACCCAAGTAACCAGCTTCGTTTGAAAAACCGTCTAAAACATGTGCAAGAAAATGCATGTGTCTTGAGGGAACCCATTCTCTGTTAGCTTAGAAGGACACCAAAGGCAACACAATATTTTTGGGGGGAACCCCATGTTGAAACACACCTAAATATTCCACCTGCTCTACAATTGGCTTTGCTGTGTCGAGCTCTTCAAATCGACTCATCTTTCCGCAGAAAAACGACACTCGGCCGATTGGGATGCCACAATCCTCAATTAAAGCAGAGGCCAGTTTGTGAGTCCAGTTGCACACTCAAAACCAGCTTCGTGTAGAAAAGTACAACTAACGGCTGGAGCAGGCAGCATAACCTGGGTGGGGCGGAATAAGGGGGGTGCTAGAGCCATGAGACGTTGCAGCAATCCCAGTTAAATCCCTCTCTCCCATGTTCAAACATTGGACATTCCGGGGCATAAGAGCAATGTCCAAAAAACTGATCGTGCACCACTTGAGGGCAAGGCTCTAGCTGGTTTGAGCAGGATCATGGGAACAAGGAGACCAAGCAATTTTAGGGGAGCCCTGTTGGAAACCGTTTTTTACGAGCTCGACCAACGAAAAAAACATGGCGCCCCAACCTCCTGCGAGACGTCCACCTCTGTAGGCTTCAATCGTGTGTCCATGCCCAGGTGCCCGAAGCACTCCAAACCCAAATCATTTGCGACCTCAGAGCTCTAGAGCTCTGAGCTCTGCGTATGAGAAAACCACCCACCTGAACTTTACTCTAACCCCCCCCCCCCCCGGCCCCCCCCCCAAAAAAAAAAACGAAGAAGAAATGGTCTCTCTTGGTCTGATTTCCGACAGTGGTTTCCTCTTTCATCTGGTGGACACGGTCATGTTTTCATGTCGAACTTGTCTCTCACTGCGAAGCTTGCCAAGCGGCTGTAGGATTTTTGCAGGGCGTTGGGAATAACCTGGCTCCAAGAAGCCAGCTGTGATTTTCTTTGGGTTCCGGACCCTTTGGACACCCTGGAGGGGATCTATGTCCACCAGCCGCTTTGGAAACTCGCCATTGAAAATCACTGGGTTTAACTTTTACAAGTCCGCAGAAAACCAAACAGGAAGTGTTTGAGGGTTCGCGAACTTCCTCTAGAATTTCCTGCATGAGTTTCCTCTAGGGTTTCTATGGCCATCTTGACTCTCTTGCATGGGTCATACGGCAGCCGGGCCTTTCTTGAGCAAGTTGAACACCGCCGATTTTGCGGTTGTGCGTTAAATACCTTGGTGCAGCCACACATGTGGAGCTGCCACAAGCTCAAGCCTCAACTCCGGCTGCTTTCTGAGAATACGTTTCGGGTCAGAATGCGGCACATCAAGGCGCTTAAGATTCCAAGACAGTGAAGTCGCTCGAAACAAGGCTGCGGGGGCATGTCTTGTTTCTTCGCAACCTTTCCCAAATGGGAAACCACCCGAAACCCGTTGATTGACGTTGGTTCTACCAAAATGGTCATAAAGACTTAGACGGGCACCCCAATTCACTACTAGAATGCGTAACATGGCCAAGTGGGGGGCTCAGTTGAAGTGCATCTTTGGGTCCGTGGCGCGTGCTGGCGCTGCCAAAGCTGACCCCTCCCAGGTCCAGGTCCGACTGCTCCGAGGTGGTCACGTTGATGGGGAAGTAGATGGCCTCCGAGTTGGCCAGCGGTTCTAGGGTTTCAACCGGTGCGAAGTGGACTCTGTCATTTCGTCCGTCGGTATGAGGAACGCACAGAATTACGAAAGTTTGCCCCAAGAGGACATGCTTGAAAGCGGGCTCAACCCTTGGTTTTAGCGGCAATTCGGGGTCCCCCCAAATGTTTGCCCCAAACTCAAGCTTGAGGACCAGTGATTTGTTCATTGCTCATCTGAAAAACCAGACGATCTGCACAAAAGTGGTCAACTCTGCTTGGGCCCTGTTAGCTCCCCGGCCACAAAAAAAGGGATCTGTAACTCACAAGTACCCAGTGTCTAGGCCGCTCGATCCAAACGCCCTTTCAGCCTTGGCCAAAAACAAGAAGGGGATCACCCTTTTCAACCAAACAAAAATGCCCTGCATCCCGCCCTTGTTTGGAGAGTGACAGTGTTCCCGTTTCAAGTGTCGAGTAAAAATAGGCACCTCGCCCCCTTTTGGTGAGGGCTGAGTGCTCGCCAGGGCGCTGAGAACCCCAAGTTCATCCAGGAGTACCAGTCCGCAAAGGTGTTCACATCCTCGAGCCACCCCCAAAGAAAAATCCCCAGGCTTCGGTGTATTCTTCTTGTCTACCGCTAAAACAAGGCCCGTCTTTCTGGCAGCCACGGAAAATATCGAGAACCCAGAAACAAAAGAGAGCCAAGAACAAGGGAATCAGTCAAACTAGGGATCGGCCCTGTTCGATGTTTGTTTCAGGGAGTCAACGTCTTCTGGCTCGTGCAAATTCTCAACGCCTTGTGACTCGTTCAGGTGCCAAGTGTCCTCGTAATTCTTGTGCCCCATGGCAAGCGGGTCGGAAAAGGCGAAGTTTGCGTTCCTGGGCAACTCAGGTCGGCCATGCTGTACGGTGTCAGCTAGGGCAAAGCCCAGTGCAATGTTGGACAGGGTGAATCCAACCCCATCCTGAACATGTAAACCACTATGGTTCCAACAACCTCCTTTTGGTTTCCATTTCATTTGGAAAGCCTGCTGGCTTAAAACTAATGCCTCACCCTGGTGTCGTTTGCCAAGAGTCTCTGTAATATCAAAGTCGATAGCTTTCTCGATGCTCTGCAGAGTTTCAGGAAGCTCGTGAGACAAATTCCTCAGGCGGGGATTCAGAACACTCCCAGCCTTCAAACGCAGGCGCTTTTTCGCCAATGAAGCTTGAGCTCATCAGCAGAAACCACACGATCAGCAAGATAGCAGCCTTGGTGCAGGCAAAGCCAAAAGTCAACATGCAACAAGCGGAAGTGGACGCCTAAATCTTCCAGCACCGGCGCTTTCTTTGTGCAGCTCGGCAACTGGCAGATTCTTGACCGCCGATTCGCCCTCAATCTCTCCTTGAAGATAAGAGAGCATCACCCGCTCCGGAATTCCATGGTCCTCAGCTACAATCTGCACCTCCCATGAGCCATGCAGTGCAGTCAGGCGGCCTTCAGAACATTGGCGGGATCCAATGCCTTCCGGACGCAACCGAAATACCAGTCACACTGGCAAAGGACTGACAGAAACAGACAGAGCTCTGTTTTGGATTACCTCAAGGTTGCTGAAGCCCAGGGGTAGTTCATGCCCACAAAAGCGAAAACCTAGTGATCGGCCTGCACTTCCAAGCCCGGTTGGATATCTACCTCAAAGCGCAACGAGTCTGGCTGTGGAGGGCAGATAAAGGAGTTTCTCAAAATGGTGGATCCCCTTTTGGTTGGTTTCTTAGAGGAAGCCGAAAGGAAACCAACCAGGGATCCCCATTTTGGAGAAAAAACCCTATGTGTTCTGCACTGCACAAATATTAAGCGTGCGACCCATCCAAAGGTGCGGTGCCTGAGCAACGGTTGCGGCTCAAAAAGAGGGCGACCCCCAACCCCCAACCCGCAGTGTAGAAGACAAACAACAGCACTCAGTGGATATCAGCTGTGGTAAGGAAAAAACAGTCGTCCAGCAGACAAGCGGCCTCTCCGATTTCGGGCTTGCCAGATCTTCGTCGGACTGTGGCTTGACCTCATCTGCAACCCCCCCGAACTGGACCAAAGCCATATTGGATATTTGTCAAAATTGGGGGGACCCAACAAATGTTGGATACCCTTTGGTTTCTCGCCCCCATGTTCTGAAAAGACCCTCCAAAAAAAGCAGCCTGATATCCGGAAAGAAAGAAAGAAAGAAAAAACAAATCAAACCTGATCCAAAAGCAGGTTTTCCCACTAAGTTCAGATCAGGTGCCCAGTTCGAGGGAGCTTTGGCTTGGTTGTTCTTGTTCGCTTGGCTTGCGGTGGGTGCGCGTTTTCCAGTCACCAGCCGTAGCACCATGGCCGGTCTCGCCACCCGAGCCGCGATCCCGTGCTGAGAGCCAAGGCGCGGTTCGCGAGCGCATGACTCCGCTGCGCTGATGGTCCCTAGTCACCAATGGGCTCCTCAAAGTGCCACATCTCCGTATGGACAGAACCCGTTTGCAAAGTATTCCCAAGCCATGTCGGTGCGAGGTTTACACTTGCAATCTTCGCCATCCCGCGATCAGGATGAGACATTTCGAAATGATTCCTGGAAAAAAATGATAAACACTACTCGAATCTACCAAGTCGCAAGAAGACAGCACTGGGCCGAAGCATCAAACTGAGAAAAACACGCGCGAAGTGTGCGATAGGGCGCTTGCCAGCCCCAAGCCCTCTGCTGCAGCTGCCTCGCGCAATGAGCAAAGGACGATACGAGTCACAATCAAAATCTTGCCTGCCCAAAACGATGTAAAGAATCCAGAAAAAGGCCGACGTATGGCTGAATTGCCCTTCACCTAGCTGAGTTTTGATGGGCTTCATCACCGTGACTTGTGTTCTATTTGAGCAGAATTTTAACGCTCGGGGGAAGTTCCATCTGGCTCATGGGCTTCGTCGGAAATACCGGTGAAATTCCGATATGCAAGACCATTCTCTTTCACCCCATCCCTGTCTGTCATGGCTGGGCAAAGTTGGCTAGCCAGTCTCAGACTTCCCCACATGTTCTACGGCTACGGTCAAAACATGCCCTTGGTTCCCGCAAAGGATGTACCCTGGTTTTCGAGTGAAATGTTAGAGCACGTCCCTCATGTCCTGACCAGAGGCTGTTTTTTCGACCAAACTGAAAGAACAAACGCGCCTCTTGCAGCTGGACCTTGGTCTCTGGGCTGACCCAGAAGAAGAGTGGGCGCTGCCCATCATCGCTGCCTTCGCTCCAGCTTTTGCTGAGCTGCGGCTGATCGTTGGCTCAGACAACAACCCGCCCCCAACACAACGGAACAATGCACAAGCATGCACCTTGATCTTGCATGCAAAACAGCGTACTCCCATAGTCCCCAGCCCTCCGGGAAAAAGGGGCCCTGGAAATGGTGGTCATCCTTTTGCTTTCTCTTTGAGCAACATTCGCTGTGTCAACTTCACATTGACACGCTGCCAACCACGGCATTCCCTTGCTTCGACTCCTGGTCCCTTCCAATGGCTGAAAGTACGAATTTTCCGCTGCAGCCACGGCAAGATCTGCGTGCCGAAGTGTCCTTTGCGCTTGGCTGATTTGTGAACATGTCCTGTGGCAGGTTGCCCACACGTGCGAGACACGCCATTCGGGTTCGCCATGTCCGGCGCGGCACCGCGGCACGCGCGGCGAATCCCATCGCCTCCTGCCCTGGCAAGCAGCCAGAAGAGGCAAGCACATCTGCCTCATAAGCTGCACTGACAAAGAGCTCAAATCGAAAATGGAACATACTGCAACTACACTAGCCACTATGCAAAGGGTATATACCCACTTTTCCACTGGGGGAGTGGTTCGAGTGTAGTGGATCTGGACCAGACAAACGCCCACATCTGGAGTACATTCAAAATAATATTGTCACAGTCTGTGTCATATTTCGTCTACCCCAAAATCTGAATAGGCTTCGAGGAAACAAGTCTGGAAGAAACAATCACTTTGCAAGGGCGCAAATGGAAAAAGGCTTCAGGTCGAATACATGCCAAAAGGACAGCCTTTAGACGCCGGGTCAAAACAAAGGGGGTGGGGGTCAAAAAAGTGTCCCAAACGATCTGAATAAATGGGTCTGTCTTGTGGTGGCCTTTTAGGATGGTTCAAGAAACCAAAGGGAACCAACCAACTGGAGGAATTGGTGCCCAAATGGTCAGCCATTTGTCTCAATTTGCGATTACAAAAGGAGAACACCAGCATCCCTGCTTCGCCGCAAAGCCTTTCACATCCTTTCACTAGGCCACCGGCCGGCCATCGAACCATGGCCAGCAGGGGACTGGCCCCACAGAAATATGGCGGCCGCGGCAAAAACACGTTGGACCCACGGACGACATTCTCTGTTCTCCACAAAAACCTCTGGGAAAACTGGCTGTTTCCCTAGTTGATGTGGGAATTTGGGCTGTCCCAGCCCATGCCAAGCTACACGTATTTTTGGCAGGTGCTCATTTGCATTTGTGCCTCCAAATTGGGGGTGCACCAATATCGGTGAGTTATCTTTGGCTTTCCTCTCGCTTTTGAGTACCCTCAAAAGGACATGTATCAGACGAGGGAACCGCCAGGAAGTGGTGTGAGGGGCATAGATGGAATAATTTGATACACTCAGCAGCCCAACGACACGCTCGAACACGGCCTGTGACGGATGTTTCTGTGAGCCCCAATGGATCCATGTTGCTTGGATGTCTCATCTTGAGCCTACACTGCGAAGCTGTCTACTCCCTCCCTACCCACTCAGGCACATACAAAGTCTGACAACAAACACGTGGCGGGAAAAGAGATGCTCTGCCACAACTGGAACCCGCTTTTGGTTGGTATTAGAAGGAAACCAACCATTTTAGGGGATCCATTTGAGACACACCCGGCCGGCTGCCTTCGGCTCCTTGTCTTAAACGGAGATTGCACGGCTCCCCAAAGAATCTCCACGAACCCATGGTGAGACAGCCTATGCAAAGAGCGCCTTTGCACGTGCGGACTGTACACCGTCTGCTTCAAAGTCATCTGGCTCTCGCCTGAAGCAGCCATCACCCCTTGTTCGATACAGCATAGAGCGGCAAACATATGACATCCATTCCGAAACCTGACATAGCGGATCCCCAAGCACAGAGCCTCATTGCGGTAAGCCTGGTAAGCTCGTACTATCCCCTGGTGAGCTCGCCAGAAATAGGCACAAGGGAGTCAAAAACAACCAGCCATGCCCCAACGCGTGTGTCTTGAAAAAGGGGACCCCAGAAATAGTGATGTCTTTTCGGCTTTCCTTTGGAACAAAACAAAGCAGGATGCCCTCGAAAAACACGACACGCACATTTGGACTGAGCCAAGGGCTTTTCCCTTGGCCTTGGCCTGAGGCAAGGACTAGTTTTCCATGTCAAACTCATGTGGCTATGAATCGTAAGAGTTGGGCCAACCACAAAGTGGCTGGCGCACATAAATCTCCACCATGATGTTCGCCAAAGTACGGGACCCCATAAAATTATCTCGCATGTGGCTATCTGTTGTTTCTTTTGTTGAGGCTACCTGTTTTTGGTGATTGCTTCAGGGAGCTCAATGACAACCACCCATTTTATTGTGGTAAGCTAGGTGTTCGCAAAATCATGCGTTTTCCCAACCATGCAGGTGTGTCCCGCTGGCTTCCCTTGAAAATCATCGAAAAAAGGAGTCTCCCCATTTGGAGACAGAACCATGGACGTTGGCATGGGCCAGAAGCCGGACCAGCAGGGGTAGGGTTGATAACCCTTGCCATCGGCTTGAACAACTTGATCAATGTCGCTGATCCTCCCCCATGCGATCAGAATCCTTGCATGGATGAAGGCCCCAAAACCCTGCCTTTCCCGCAGGCTTTGGTGATGCCTCTGCCTCACGTGGCTCTCATGAGTTATCTGAAATATGGTCCCCTTTTTGCACCGTGGTGCCGCCTTGTGCTGCCTTTCAAAAGGGATACCAAAAAGGTCCCCAACTTCAACAAATCCCCATGAGCACACGCTCACACCCCTCGAGGGAGGCAAGAAGGATGATCTCGAAGCAACACTCACGACTCATGACATGAGCACACTTGTTTCAACAAGGGAACAATCGACGATTGTCAGCCAGCTTTCAACCCCTGTGTCTTGCCAGCAATGCAGCACTGCCTTCGCTTTCGCTTTGGCTTTGGCCTTTTCCTTCAAACACGCAGACGGGGTGAGTTTCAGAATTGGGGAGCCCTCCATCTTTGTCTCTGGGTTCCTATGTCCAGTATCCATTCCGATACCAGCCCCCCTGCGAAGCTAATCCGACAGCCGACCAAACGAGTTGCACCTTCGGCGAAGCGTCCACCTTGGAGCAGTGACACCAAACCGGTCCTAGGATGTGTCTCAAAACAGGGAATCCTCAAATTGCGGCTTTCTCCTAGTTTGCCTTTAAAACATCCCCACCCGTTAAGGGGGGGGGACGTCTGAAAATATAATTTGCATTTTATGGGGGTTGGCACCTGAAAGTGTAAGATTACATTTTCTTCTGGAGACGTGCCAAATGTAAGATTAGGTATGCGTCGGGACCAAGATCGGTGCGGGGGGGGGGGGGTGGTGTTACTTGAATTGTGCACGATGGACCCTTGCAGCAATGTAGTGGCTTAACCCACATTCTCACAGAGAATAGCTGCGCAGCCATGAAAGAGACATCAGAATCAGTCTCCGCGCCTTGTCATTCTGACTGCTTGCGAATGTATCAGTATCCTTTGAGCCCTGTTTGCGCTACAGGGGGGGGGGGTTCGGGGGGAGGGGGGAGATGGTACCGTTCTTGCTCATTGATAGCACATCTTATGAGTTCTGTGCAATCATGGTGACTCTACTGAACGGCGTTGTTTGCTGACTGATTAAAAAGCTCGTCTTCTTGCTGCTTTTCACATGTTGGGACTAAGATCGGTGGATGTGGTCCATTTTCATTCCTTCCAAAGACAAAATCACAATTGCTTGACTCAAATCACAATGGAATTTACCACATCCACCGATCTTGGGGACGCACGGCTAAGATTACAGTTTGGACGCGGGTGGACCTCTCCTCAAGGTACCTCGCACATAACCAAGTTACAACTTCATGAACTTGCCCCATGCCTTCAAGAGTTGTTGAACGTCAACTTTTGTTGGGGAAGGGGTGAGAAAAAGTAACTTTTGACGTGCCCAGGTTACATTTTAACCTCCCCCCTCCCCCCCAAAAACAGATATACACACCTGGCGGGGGGGGGGGGGTCCCTTACATTTTTTACATTTGCAGTCGAACCCCCCGCCCCCCATTATCGGGCCCTAAGGGGGTGGGAATTTTAAAACCACCCAACAAATGGTACCCTGAAAATTGTTGGTTTCTTGTGCTCTATTTTCTCGGCAAGCCCATTTACCTTAAAGACACACCCACTTCAGGCGCTGGCCATCTTGCTCCTGGCCTTGGCCTTTGCTTTTGCCTTTGCACCACCCTTGATCCTGGCACAGGAGCCTTTTTCGACCCCGGGCAACACCAAAGGCAGTCTGTCAAAAAACAGGCGGGATTGGAAAAAATGGGTGCCCTCTGGGAGGTTAAGAATGGTCAGTCCTCATCAATCAAGTTCAAACGTGAAGGGACCTTGTTTCAAAAAATGCCAACACCCGATGTACGTTTTGGCCAAACCTCATTCGGGCATATCAAAATAGAGGGACCCCTGCGATGTCCAGGTGTTTTCCCTTTGGACCAACCTGTAAAGAGTACCAAGACTAAGAGGAAATTGATCTTCCATCGAGGAGACTTGCACCGGGCCAAGCTTGCCAAGTTCGAGGGCGCCTTTCTTTGATACCGTCGGGTTTCAAAGGGAAACCCCTCCACAGGAGCATTTTGAGACGTCGAGTGCAGAGTTCCGAAGCTGCATGTCCTGCTCTCGGCTTGGCCGATAGAAATGAGAAGGGCGTTTGCGGGAAAGGGCGCATGCGGTCATGAGCAGTTGACGATGTCGATAGCCGGCCAACAGAAACTGACTCCCTCGCAGAAAAACGTCCGTTGCTGCGCAAGAACTTGAAGCGAGTATGACGCTACGAACACAAGGATCAATGTTCTAAGATTATGTTCACTACCCCAAACCGCTACCCCAAGGGGTTCAATGGTGTGTACGTGTATATATGTGTATACATAGCCACTATATAATGGGTGTACCCTGCTTTCCTCTGGGGTAGATTAGGGGCAGTGGAAACCATCTCATAGAAAGAGGAAACGCGCCAGCCAGACTTGATGAGGCTGGATGTTGCGGCACCTTCATCCTCGCTACCTTCCTTCTTTTCATCCTCCTCGTCCACTTTCACCTGCAACGGAGGAAACCGTGCCAGGACCATAAGCTTCGCAAGGATTCTTAGAAGGGGTTCGCAAGGCTTCTGAGAACCTTTCTGGGGTCCTCGCGAAATGTCCCAATACCCAACCCCATTGGTTCCTCAAAATAGGGGCCCAGAAAATGGATGGTGTCCTTTCTTGTCTCCCTTCAAACATTAACAAGGCACCACACCTGCCATTCCCGGGCCTTGTCCTTCTCTGTGTCGCCCTCGATCTCATCAGGATTCTCCTGCCCAAATCTGGCCACAGGTGCAGGCCTGACTTTCTTCACCCGCGCCACTTGTCTGTTCTACTACACCCCAGCATATGAGCAGCATATGCGTGAGTGTAGCAGGTGGACACTCTCACTACAACAGAAAGAAAAGGTGAAACCCGCATGCATCTGACAAGTGATCGCTCCGCCAGCCTTATCTTGGCGGCAAGTGAGTGTCTTCACTGGTCAGTTTTCTTTTTGTGGACATTTTTCCACTTTCTGCGCCATAATACGAATCCTTCTTCGAAGGATATAGCGCCTTCCAGCGCATGTTCTCAAGCTGAAAATCTGTATTGCATTGCGGTTGAAATATTCCGTCAAGTTTTGTAGTGTAGCCGGGCAAAATTCTAGCCATGGCCTGGATGACCTCCTGTTGACACGGTAATCGATGTCTTGCCAAGCTTTTGTGGTATCCGAGTGGGATAAGTGACGGAACAGACTGTGGCTTTCCAAGAGTCCTATGGGAAGGAGCCCTGGTAGGAACATTTTGGACGCTTCAAGTGCAGCTGTATTGAAAGCTCCTATCTGTTGCATAGGCCGCCGTGATGCATAAATCTGGGAGCTGCCAGCACTCTGCTTTTCCGATTTTATGTGTCATGACAGGCGTTGTTGATCCGCAGAAAAAATGAACATGAAAGCCAAAGTTCAATCCATGTGATACCCGGATCGTGCTCTTGGCACTTGTTTGGCCACTTGATCTGGTCAGCCCATCGCGCCACTCTATAGGATCACATGGGACCATAAAGCAAGCTCTGGGAGTTTTGCTCATTTATTTCCCGCGGCGTCACTTCCCTTGCTTCTTGGATGTTCCAGATTTTCAATCTTTCTAAGTAGGCCGCTCGAGTGTCAGTCGATGCAGCTGCAGTGGTTTCATTTTGTGGAGGTCTGGTAATGTTCATTCGTGCTACCCCCAGATCTCTGAGGTAGTCCAGAAGTTTCTGATATTTGTGTGTGTGGCAGCCTTCTTCTTGATGACATACTGGTCGTACTGAGTACTAATGTCGCCACAGTCAAATTTGATGGCCGCTTTGGCAGCCTCATCTGCCAAGAAATTTCCTAAATGGTTGTATCGTTTTAGTGGGTCCCCAATGGAGTCCAGATCAACAATGTGACTTGATTTTCTGAATCTGAATCGGCTTATGTGGTTTAGTTATCAAGTAGTGGCACATGTGCTGCACGATGTCGAAGTCTGGCGACTTCAGGTACAACGCCAGTTCCGGTCTTATATATCATCTCTGACAACTTACCTATATCGTACATGCTATCAGAATAAATTACTCCTTCCTGGATCATGGATGCGTTGCACAAGGCCCACAGTTCCGCTCGATTCACGGTTTGGGGCCCTAGAACTTTACCCATGTGGATCCCATTGGGTCATCCCCCTTGCTTTTTTGCGGGACTTTGTCTCCCTGTGCCCTCCCGACCAGCAGTGAACTACCAATGTGTTTGTCAGTTGCTTATCGGTCATTCTCAAAACAGGAGAGCCCCCAAATGAGATTGTTCCCTTCAGCTTCCCTATCAAACCACCCAACAACGGGGTCCATTTTAGAAACTCTAATTTCATCTTCTCAGGGCATATCTCACACAGTCCTCCATCGCAGAGGCCTTCCGCTTCTTGCCTCCAGGAATGACCACCTTCCGCGCAAAGCGGGAGGCCATCCCGCCAATGGGGGCGATGTTGGGAGTTGGGAGCTTATTCAAAAGGGAGACCGAAACGAAACCGAAATCCATTTTGTGGATCTGAAGCCCCATTTTAACGCATGCCTAAATGTTCCCTGGCGAACTTGCGAGGCTACCCAAAAGCATCCTCAGATAATCAAGGTTTCCCTGTTTCCAACAACATGATGTTTTGCAAGGGTGCAGGCCCTCGGTGCAACGATGTACCAAACCGAGCTGGTTGCTGCGAAAAAGCACCACTTCGAGCCATCCAACCCAGATTCATGCTTCGCGCCGGCGGATTTTGTCGCAGCAGTTTTGTGATTTGGATGCTCTGCGCAAACGCGACTGTCTCGACTATCAACCCTGGCTCCCTAGACCGCGTAGCTTCTCTGCAAAAGCTCTCATTTGCTACCAGCGCAAGCGGGTGACTTTCTACAAAGCAAGCCATTTTTCCCGACACGGAAAAGCACTGAAAGCGGTTTTGCTTTTGGCCCGCTTTGGCCTCATTGCCAAAGAGCCTGACATACTGTGTGGGGTACATCCAATGCTTCTCACGCGAGTCTCGCTCTTGGGTAGACCCCTCGCCTCAATGGGTTTGAACACAACAATGCTCGCACCATGTCAACAGCCAACCCATCGTTCTTATGCAATACCGAATGTCTGCAACATCTGCAGGGCGCCGATGCGAAGGTTTGCTTTTTGCACCCTGCCTGCCGCTGAACAAGCTGCTACTATCTTTGCGCAATGTCAACAGCCGAGTCAAATTGCAAGTGTAAACTGAAAACTCTGCAACATCTCTGGCATGCCGTGCACATCTGGCGTGCTGCTGAACAAAGGCTGTCTGGTTCAACTCTGCGCGATTCAACAGCCCAAACAAATTCGCGACAAATCCAAATTGCGCAACATCTCGGGCATGCAAAGACTCTTGTTGTCTTCTTGCATGCAGCCCGCTGTTGCAGTATCCAACCCACGGTGCTATGCCACATCTTGCTGGAAAGATACGGGCACCCCACCTGCGCGTATCTTACCACATCTGGCCTGGCCCTACAAATGACACTAGGACCAGCTACCATGGCCACACGCAGACTGAGACCACACAGAGACTCCAACCGACCTGCGGTCCTCTGAAGGATGTAGAAACGGTTTGAAACAGCTGGCAAAGGTGGCTTTTAGCTCGGCCAGAATGCATCCTTCAAGGAAACCTGCCCTTGCGACATGTTTGGCTCGCCGACCTCAAACTTCAAAGGGACTCCGAATCCGGATCCATCAGCTGGACAGGAACTTTCACTTGGGGACCCGTGCTGGACATCTAGGGGCCATTTGGGATCCACCCAACCAACAAGTGAGAAAAAGGTTGTGCCCTTCTTTGGATCCTCATGTTCGCCACCTCCCTCTGCCCCCTTCCCCTCAGCCTAAAAGCGCCAACCCCCCCCCCAAAAAAAAAAAATGTAAAAAATAAATAAAAGTAAAATATGTGCCTTCACTGCGTGGGTCCCGGTGTTGATTTCCCTGGTCATCGCCGCCTTCACCTGCCAAACACAGATTACAGGGCCCCAGGTCAAATTAGGAAGGTTTTTCCCGGAATGTAACATGAGGTGTTGTTGTTTTCCATACACTGTTTCCCGTTCTACGAACTCGTTGGCGTGGTCACGCAACACGCATAGGAAAAGCAGGCAGCGGGCAGCAGCAGACTTGTCGCATGATTCAAAACGCAGGTTCGGTCATCGGGAACAGGAACTCGAGGAGTTGGCTTGAAGATGGCAAACCAAAGACGCGGCGTGTTACTGGGCAGTTGGTTGGATTTGGCAAGCATAAGTATCGGTTAGATATTGACCGTGTATCGGTTTGAGAACAAATTCGGGGCCTGTAAGTGTCCCACTCCAGAACCTCAGTTAAGCAACAAGTGCGGGCTTCATGCCTCGTGTAGCTTCTCCATAACCGGAGTGCAACTCACAAGAACGCAGAACCACTTGACCTAATTGTCTTCATGGCTTCTGGGGGTATCGCTTTGTCCTCCTCAGCAACGGTTACAGTGAATAAAACCTACAAAACAAATTAAGGGACGGCCCGTTACAAAACGCAATGGCGTGGCCATCTTGTTTCGACCCAAATGGACCATAGACTGTTTCGATATTGCGCCAAAACTCACATACGGCAGTACCGCTGCAACATATTGGGGCTCGGGTACCCTTTTGGGGGTTGAAATGACCCCGAAAATGGTACCCTGGCGGAAGGACGTCGGAACTTCCCTATCAAAAATAAAGTCGAAAAGGGGAGGAGTGCACTTCCTTGTTTGTGGCTTCTCAACATTCAATGGTTCCAACTCTGAAAGCTCATGGCTAAATGGGTGTGTGTGTGTGTGTGTGTTTTTAGGGGACCGCCCAGAATGGTTTTGGCTTTGGTGTCCGTTTAAAGTCGCCAAAAAAGAGGTGCCAACTCCGGGGGAAAAGCAAAAAAACTCTTCAGGGGTGGGGGGGGTGGTTTTGGTGCCGGACGGCACCAGCCTTAGGGTCCACCGCCTTGAAGAGGTCATCACCGCCCAAGTGCTGCCTGCGTCGACGGTGTCAAGAGGATGGGTCCAATGGGACCTAAAGGGTGCCCTTGATGTCCCACCGCCGCAAAATAGCCCGGGGGGGGGGGGGGGGAGCGCAAGAAACGCGAAAGGGTACCAAATATTGCCGTAAAGCTGCATGTATGAATTTTGGAAGCCAAAATGAGCTGATTGATGAGAAGAACCCCTTTCAACGAGTCGGAAACTCAGTGTTCAAATGCATACGATTGCACCAACACGTGCTCCTGAATCTCACATATCCCTTTTTTGTTTTCCCGCGCGCATGAGGAAGCAAGCGGGTGCACTGTACAGGTGCCGCATCTTCTTCTGGCAGTGCGCGTTTCGGCAAATGAGCAGCGCCCGAAACCCATTGAATTTCGGTTCTGCCAACATTGGACAGTGTCATGGCCATGAAGTTTTATCTCGGCCATACTGCCATTTAACCAGGCAGAACCACCCACTAAAACGGCCAAATGGAATCTGTTTTGGACGCTGCTCAAATAGAGGGCAAATGCTCTATGCACATCACCAGGGAGCGGAAAAAATGAAGGACCTCAAAGACCTTATCCTTTACATCGCAAGTGCGAAGCGCGACTCACCTCCGCTGCCTGGGAACATGGGAGAAACCTCAAAACCTTTGCTTTGCGCTGTCAAGAGAGGCGATGGTGCTATGTTCGGAGTCCTTTTCCCAGTTTGCCACATTTCCGCGATTTAGCTTGGCACCTTTTGAACAGCGGGGCAGATGCAGGAGCGATGGCCTTCCGCTTGGAGCCTGGCTGCCAAGCCGTCAAGGTGCCCCGTATTGGCAGCCCGGCCTGCAGCCTTTGCCTTCAAAGCCTTTTTGAACTTGGCAAGGTTCGCCTGGCATCCAGGGCTTAGTTTGGTGGTTTGGACTTTTTGTACCTTCCCCATTTGCGTTCACGAAGACGGGGGATACCCCAGGGAAACAAAAATTGGGAATGGGGTCCTGAAGCCCAACTGCAGACGTGCCATGGTCAAAATTATGTGTGGGTTTGGGATTGGTAGGGATGCTCATGAGCCTTCGGTATGGGGATTCTAGACAACCATGCACATGACCCACATGAGGAGTTTTGACCATGGCAAAGATGTGGCTGTGCTACGAGCAGCACCTTGCTCGCTTTCTGGTGATCTACGATTGGCTTCGGATAATCCTGCGCTGAATCTGCAACACTGGCTCGCCATGAATGGATGCACAATTTGCCCCAGGTGGTTTCTGCTAGAACCCCCTTAAAATATAATGTACGTTTGTTGGGAGATGATCAAAACCTTACGGAGGGCGGCCTTTATCATCTCTTGTTGGCTGGGTTGCTTCTGTGTTCAGGGAGGGCTTAAGAGACCTCAGGTTGACTTGCCTCGACAAACAGAACCAGCATGCGCCAAACAAGGTTGACATGCATGCAACCTTCCAGCCTTGCCGACAATGCAGCCCGCCGATTTCTGCACCTCACACCATCAAAGTTCTGATCCGCTCCATGCGGAAATGTCTCAGAATTCTGGGGTTTCTCAAAACCAGGGCAGCCACAAAATGATGGTTTGCTCCTTTTTGGTTCTCCCTTCATTCAACCGCAAGAAGGGCTCCCTCAAAAAAGACCCACCCATTTCCATTTGGGGCCTCCAATTCAATGGGCTGAGGTATCACCCGCGCCTCTTTGGGAGCAGTCCAAGGTGCGTAGATGTACTTGCCTCGGTGCAACACTGGGAGAACGCCGCGGTGTCTGAATTACGTTACCTTGAGCAATCCCCACCTAAGAAGTTTGCTTGGCTAAGCTGGGCTGCAACCACACAGGCACCAAAAGGCCAGCTCGACTGCGCGGGGTCTCAAGCACGCTGCTGGCTGATGCGACTGCACGGAATCCAGTCAAGGCAAAATTGAGCCAAGGCAACGCTGACCCCTCATCAATAGCAGCCTTTGCTACTACCGCAATCAAGCTCTCTCTTGGCAAGATTCCCTTCATCCGGGGCACTCCCATTCTTCGAGGGGCCGGGCAAGCTCTTGCAAGGACACAGCATCTGTAGCCCCAAGATCCGGCGACATTGGCAGACGCAGCTGAAAACGCAGGTCAACCATTCTCACATGTTCCCACAACCAAACAGTCGTCCTGGGTCGCGTGGCTCATAGCTTCAGCAGCTGCACCCGTTGGCCTTTTGCCAAACAAACAGCCAAGCCGCCACATTCTTGTTAGCGCCGACAGAATGCTGCAGCAAATCGAAAGCTTCCGGGAGGGCTGCGTGATTTGTCGTCAAGTTCGCTTCGAGGCGCGGCACTGAAAAATGTCACATCAGCAGCCGGAACCAATCTGTCTGGCTCATTGCTTGCTCCGGCCTTCGTCCCAAGCCTCACTCTTTGCATCGCAGCTGCCCTGGCCTGGCGAGATTCAAACTTCGGCCGTCAGCCCGGCCCGCCCACTGGCCTGGCTGCTGGCGGGAGCCTCACACTTCGGACTGTCACGTCTGTCGGTCACAGGCTCTGTCGCGGCTGTGTCACATCTGTCGGTCACAGGCTCTGTCGCGGCTGTGTGTCACATCTGTCTGTCAGGCTCTGTCGCAGATGTCTGTCACAGGCTCGGCGCGCTGGTTGTGGCGTCAGATGTCACTTAAAATCCAACAATCCCAAACCTGTCGTGGGGTGTTCTCAAAATGGTGGAACTCCTTCTGGTTGGTGTTTAAAAGGAAGCCAAAAGGAACCCACACATTTTCAGGCTCCCCTACTTTAGAAACACGTAGGAGCTGAAAAGTCTGCATGTGCGCGACACGAGGCAAATAATCTGAGGAGTCGCGCTCGGCATATCTGCAAGTTCAGGCACAAATTCGCGAATGAACTTCCCCTGCCGATGAGATGAACTGTGCGCTCTGGCCAAGCCAAGCTGTCGAACTGACACTCGGCCTCGGGGTCCTTCACATTCAGCGAGGAGTCCATCTTGGGCACCTCGATGCGTTGAGCACTGAATTGGAGTTGTCGCCTCTGCGAGCGCCCCACAGGATGATAGATCCGGAAGAAGGGGGGCGACCAGGGCGCAGCCCCTGAAAGCCCCAGCCAGTTCATGTTGTTCAGCGACCAGTCCTTGAAAACATCAGCAGCAAGCTGTGAATTCTCAACTTTTTTGCTGCAGGAACAAATTGTCCTCACTCCAAAAATCATGGAATCTGACAGGATTGTGTGGGAAGACAACACTTCGTTTTGGGGGATCTCCGTCCACTTCCATGATTGTTGGAAAGAGGGTAGACCAGTATGGCCGGCGCAGCGTCTATGAGAAGCTTGTCGAAAACATCTCGTCCTTCGCACAGACATTGCTCTTGCCAGGCTCTGAAATATATCATGACCCACTACAATCCTAGCACAATGTCCCAAAACACCAAAATGAAAGTCGTCTATCCATTGGCTCAAGTGCATGGGAAATGAGGACTACCCTTGCAACTTTCTTCGGTAGTTGATTTTCAGGGTGAAACCCTCTCCAAACAAAAAAATGAATTCCGAAAACGGAGGACCCTCCCTTCTTTGAGCCCTTCAAGCATCACCTCAAAAAACTAATCTCCAAATGGCCAAACAAGTGATGTTTAGCTTCCCCAAAAGCACGTACGGGGTGGCTCGTTTTCTGCGGCGCGGTGCCCTTTTTGGGGATGGATGGTTTGAAGGAAGAAAGGGAAACCGAAGGCCCATCTGAACCCAGTTCCCATCTGGGGCCCCACCTTGCTCCCAGGAGATCCACAGGTCCCCGCGGGTGAGGAAGCATGCCACCGCGTGGCGCGCCAAATGGTGCAGCCAGCCCACCTCCAGCCCGGTGATTTCCAGAAAGAATCAGTGGGGACAGAGGGCAAAACCCTCCCCATAAAAGCACGAAAAACAAAGAGAAATGAATCGGGCGCTGGCGGCCTGTGCTTTTTTGGCAGCAGTTGGGGCACTTAGACGTGAAAGGCGGAGAGGGTGCCCGTGGATTCATTGGGATACCTTGGCATTAAGACAAAAGCAATCCCAACCTTCAGTGAAGCGCCAGAAGCTCTCCCATTTGTCTGTCATTCCGGGGGCTCTTTTGAAGACTTCCCCCCCACCCAACCAAGAAAAAAAGAAGTCATATTTGACTCTGGCCAAACATATGGTGCAGCATAACAAAAATAAGTTCAAAACAGATTCCAGATATCTTCACCGGTGAGTCAAAAAACTGAAAACGAGACTCCTCCACTGCTGGCAGGTGAAAAAACAACGGAGATACGGTAACAGCCGGCGGTTTGACTACGCAGGAAGGGGAACTACTACGAGTGCCGGCTCAAAGCACGGCAGCACTACACTCTTCATCCGCATCCGAAGAGTAACAAGAACAAGAACAGGAACAAGAACAAGACAAAGAAGAAGGAAAGAAGAAGAAAAGAAGAAGAAAAGAAGAAAAGGGACTGCTCCACTAAAGCGGGGCCTGGCCAGCAAGAACTTGCAAAGCGGGTGTGCCTTTTTGTGAGGGTTCCCTTATTTTCAGTGTTGTTTTACCAGGGGCTCATTGATGAGCACAGGACCCTTCGCAAGAATCCGCACGAAGGTGACTGAACGTGTCATTGAAACCGTCATGTCTGCTACTGCATCATGCACAACTAAAAGAACCAACGACTTGCTGGCAGATTTCGAACATAAATGGGCAACAGTCCATGCAAAGGGCCAATTCATCATTCGACAAGTTGTCATGGATAGGTCTTGGGCCCTCTGGATCTTAAGATTCCGCTTGAGCACCGCACGCGATTAAGCTGCCTCATGCAGGCGTCGATGAAAGGGTAGCCGGTCCTCCAGGCAGAAATTCGCACCAGTGGCGGTCAGAACTCCTCATATGTGACATAGTGACATAGTCCTGCCTCGCTGAAAAGGCACCCTGACAAAGTTGTATGAAATCCCCATAGCGGTCCATGACCGTCCCTACCAACCCCTAGATCACAGGTCAAACGCACATTTCGCATGTCCCCTTTGGGCAGTTGATTGTGCCTTTCCTCGAGGTGTCCAATGGTCTTATCGTATCCTGATTTCCGATGTCCTGCCCTGCTCCCAGGCTTTGAGAAACTTCTTGTTCTTGGCCCAAGGAATGTTCCTCGGCAAAGCTCAGGCCTGGTGCCCAACCGGCCCACCCACTGGGCACGCAGACTTGCAGCTAGGGTTTCCTGCCTGGCACGGCAGGAACCCATCAATCCGCAGCCTTTGACAAGCGTGAAAGGGCAACTGGCCAGTGGATGGCTAACGGCTGCTCTTTGCTGGTGATGTGTTTCCTCCCTTGGAGTGGGCACAACTGTGACACGGTCGTGCATCTACTCTCCATCCTTCTCGCCATGTAGGAATGGAATCTTAGCGCAAGTCGGGCGTTCGGCTCGGCTTTCAAAGACATGGAACGGGCTTTTTGGGGTTTGAGGTCTGATTTAGTTGTTTGGCTGGCTTAGAGTTCAGGTTCGTGGATGAGGGTCTAGGCTCCAAGGGAAGAACCCTCGAGATGTGAATGTGACAACTAATTCACTGCTTCTGGCCATGGGTTGAAGGCTGAACAAACCACACGCGCCGCATGCGCTGGCTGCAAGGTTAGTCGAGGTCGGTTTCTAACCATCCCTTGAACCTGCCAAGTTGCATTGAATGCCTTTTGTTCAGCCACTCGGTTGGCACTCGCCGGTATGACAACTAAACCTGGCCATGTCGAAGTTGTAGTGTGTTTCTAAAAATGTAGAATGTGCAGGCTCATCAGTTCTTATATCTTACTTCCATGGATGGCCACACCAGCCCACTCTCTGCCTGACGGTCGAAGTTTGGGATGGACATCCCCATCATATGGGCCATCTCCCGGAAGTAGATCCTCGGTCAGGCACGCATGCGGTGGTCAAAATTCCCCATGTGGGTTGTGGTCTGCGGTCTCGGAGCCGATTGTCCCAAATTCAAGAAACGATTAGCACAAGAGAAAAGCGGGGCCGAGCTCTCAATTTGGGAAACCACGTTGTCAGTCATATTATGAAGCATGTCATTGCAGATATCAATACGCTCGAAGCAAATACAGTCAAGGGTAAGCATGGGAGAAGCTTCAATACAACATGTCGCAGTCACAAGAATCACCACTGGCAAGGCAGAAAGGATCCCAGACGTTCTCCTGAAGTCGCCTAGACATGCCTGTGGAGCATGGTCATGGTTCGCTTGAGGGGAACGTTGTCTAAGCCCCTATTGAGGGAGTGATGATGCATCCGTACCAACCCCAAGTTGACCATGTCACATGAATCAAATCCCGCGTTTGCGACTGGCGCAGGGCGCAAGGTGGGCTACTTTGTGGCCATGCCCTGCTTACACAGAATGCTGCCCCACGCTACAAACGCATTTGTTTAGCCATATTATTGAGCCCCCAACTTCACCCGGCACCTTCACCCCCTTCAAAGCCAACCACTGCTTCCTTGAGAAGTCCAGGGTAGCACTTGCCGGGAAGCACTTGCCTTGGGTTCGATCTTTACCAATCCGCTTTAGCACGGCCAGGCCCCCAGCAGCCATGGGAACGCAAGGCAAGCATCAGCTTGTGCTGTAAGACTAAAACCCATGGGTGGATTTCCCCCAAAAATCGGACGTTTGGATTTGAGTCGGAGTAAATGGAAGCAACTCGGCATCTCGGGGCTGCGGCTGCCCGAGCAGGGACTCCGGAGGCTTGGAGTGGCTCGAGCCAGCGCAGACCTGGCCCCGGTGCACCCGGTCTAAATTTGATCCGAGATGTTTGGCTCTAACATGCTTGTGGGCGTTATCGACCTCTAGGCTTGACCTTGTATATCATACAACTTTGGGCCTAACCAACTTCGGTCCTTGACCAGGTAGGATGGGAGCTTCTCACAATCTGGACTCCCTTTGTTTGGTTTGTATGGGTTTGTCCTTTTTGGAGACGCGGTACCCTTTCCAACCTTTCTGGGTTCCAATTTCTATTTTGAGACAAACCAATGATATGGGTTTCAGAAACCAAGTACAATGGGAGCTTCTCAAAATGGTGGAAAAGCCATCTTTCAGTTGGCATCAAAAATTCTGGCGACCCCTAGTTTGGGAAACACCCAAATGGGTTTGGGTCCATTTCCCTGCCTTGACGCGTACCCAAATTGCGTGGTTTCCCGACTTGCCCTTGGATTCCTGTCAAAACGACCTTAAGGAGAGTTTCAAAAGACACCAATGTTGGAACCCGTCTGCTGCACACTCCACACGCTCTGTCGCAGGAGCCTTGAGCAGGCCGTGATAGAACTCACGGATGCTAACCTCAGAAAGAGCTTGTCGCCTCAGACAATATGGCACCTGCTGAGCGAGCAGCGCAGCCGAACTTCAAGTAGGGTGACAGCACGGTAGTATCTGGAGGATCCTCAGTTATAGAGCATCCAGGTAAATCTGAAGCAGCCTCGTGTCTGTCAGCAATCTATTGCATGCTCAAAAGCTAAGATGCAAACGTAAGCACTGGATCTGGTCTGGGGCTTGCGGAATTTTCTGATGTAGGACTTTTTCTGGCAGGGAAGGCTTTCATACAAGCAGCTTCAACAAAAAAGTGATGCCTTCAGCATGGAGGCCATGCGTTTCGTGCCAGCAGTTTCGCCGCCGGAGACCCAGGGAACAACACCTCACAAGCTACCAATGCATCTTAGAATCCAGCCACATACGCGCTCTCCAGGATTCTATCCCTCAGCCCTGGCCATGAAAAACCATGAAAGTGTTTTCCACATGCGCCACTTACGCAAGCTGCGAACCGATTGCACCACATGAGGCCCTGGCTGCCTTTGTAGCCTGACATAAGACCAAACCGTCGTTGACCGGTTCTAGAGGCAAAGTGCAACCACGCGGCCCATCTGCTTGAGGGTGGGAACATTGAAGGCCTTGCGAGGAAAAACTCGAGAGGCCTAGCTGGAGCCTGCGGAACTTCGAGTTTAATTCTCGACTGCGGATAGCATGGCTGCACCTTCATTTCGCACAAACACAAACACGTACCCACACACTCTAACACTAACACTAAGACTGACACTACCACTGACACCAACACCAACACCAACACCAACACCAACACTTCCACGAATCTAGATACAACTGAGTAAGGGGCTGCTCAGTCACAGCGTTGGCTGTACACGTCAAACATGGTGCAGACACGTGTGCTCAATGTGCAACCCTTGATCTGTGAGCCGGCAGGGGTTGCCAACACAAATACAGAAACTTGTGTATGCAAATATACGCACAAGAAGCACAAACGCACGCCCGCATGTTAGCGCCACTGTCAAACCCGCGCTCGGAACCCGGCAGTCCGCTTGGCCACAGCAGTTGGCAAGGCCGGCCTGGGTCGAAATTACGAAGACTTCTCCGAGTGAAGATGGCAAATTGGGCGGGCCCCCTCATTGTGGTAGGATATGTGGCTTGCTCCCTTTCGTCCTCCGCAAACCAACGATAGACCACCAGCAATGTAGTCAGTTGCTCACTTGAGCAGCACCCAAACAAATTGACGTTTGGTTCTATCAACAAGATTATAGAGGTTTACATGGTCCTTGCAATACATCCCTTGAATCCAGGCAAAAAGAGCCACCTGCCCTATGTTCGAAGCATGAGCGAAGCACAAGCTTCAGCCCTGGACAGCTTGGACGGGGCCGCCAGGGGCTTTGCTGGGGCACCCATGGCCTAACGGCTGCATCCAAGCTCTGCCTCGACCAGAAAGTCTTTGGGTGTTACAAATCACATAAGAATCACAAGGTTTGCTTGTTCATGAACGACGGCTTTCTAAGAGCAGAACATGTGTTTGCATGTTTTTGTTGGCAAAACTCCTCGCTAATTCTATTTCAGTGTTGGGCCGCGGGAAGCAGGTTTCGCGCTTGATGTGAGCCTTGACCAGGGACGCGATGCCGTTGTTGGTGGTGGGCGCCTTTCCTTGCAAAAGGCTGGCCTCCAAATATGAACTGCTGTGCTTGGATGCGCTAGGGCAAGGGCCCTTGTTTTTCTTCAGAGCCTCTTCTATGTCGTAAAGGGTATGCCCTGAGAACGTCCGCACCTGTCTTCAAAGATTCAATGTAACTTGTCTGAAGCCAGAAAACAGTGCCTCAACCTCGTGCTTTCCCGCCAACTTTGCGATTTCTGCATCACGTTTCCTCACATGCAGCGCTGCCGTGTCTATGCTCAAGCTTGCCTACTCCAAGAAGCCATGCCCAACACGCTTGGAACCTTCTGAGCTGGCATGCAAAGTTCAGGCCTGGCATAGGGCTCTGTGTCCTTCTCCCACAGTAGCATCGCCGGTTTGGCCTCGCGTATTCTTGTGCGTTTTTGGGGGGTGCCCGTTTCATCTTAGGCTTAAACCTCTTATGTTTCTCCTGAGAGAAAGATGCACTGCCTTCCAATTCAATCAGCTGAGATCGTCACTCTGAGCAAGGGCTGGCCATTCTTCAGCAGCTTTCCCAAGACATCCTGCATGCAGTTTTAGCAACGGCCCCGCTCGTCCAGCGCAGCCGATTTAGGTGGGACAAATTGTGCCAAAATGGGTTGTTTCCACTTCAATTCGTTTCTTTGAATACCAACCATTGTCGAGGATCCCTATTTTTTGCCCCCCCCCCCCCCCAAGTTTTCCAGAGGAACCCGTGGAACCCAGAAGGTCCTGGCGCAAAATGTTCCATGTTAGTGGGTGGGAAGTCACGGTTATGGAAAATAACCCGAAAATTGTTGTGGGACTCCCATCCTCACTTCACTTGTTCAATACTTGTTTAATTTCAAAGGCCTTCCCTTGATATCACAGCAAGTGATGCTCAATGTTTGACGCTTGTTCTGCGTAAGGCCGGTCGGCAAACGTTGGCCGCCGGTGCGCGGGCACTTTGTCCCGTACCAACGTGAACAAAGGTAAAGCTTTAGCTCCATTTTTGGGGCGCAGCTCAACGAATTCCTCTTTACTTGTCGAGCTTGGACTTCTTTGGAAGCAAAGTAAACTGCGGGATGACCTTGGCGGCACCTTGGCAGCAAGAGTTCGTCAAGATTAGCTCAAAAATCAGCTAGGCTAGGACTGTTCAAGCGCACACAGGCAGGACTGAGTTGAATGGGTACAGTGGGCGACAGGAGCACTGCCCAACCGTGTCCGACCTTCTTGCTACTCCTCAAAACAGCTGCTTTGGCGCTGTATCTTTTGGAGTGGCGAGGAGTTGTGTGTGTGTGTGCTCTCGGGTGATAACAGCTGTTTGGACTGGCCAACTCACCCCATGCAAACGAGGCACTGCGAGAATCAATGAAAATGTCTGCACTGGAAGGCTCCCAGGCATCGACATCCAACTCCTCTCAGGTTGTAGCTGCGCAAGCTGAAATGATTGCATCTGAAGATACATCTCGCAGGTGGAGTCAAAACAAAAAAATAAATTACACCAGCATCGACCCAAAACAGCATTGCCAAGTCTTGAGGCAGCTTTGGTTTCCATGTCATGGAATACCAAAACCACGAGTAAGCATCATGAACAAGGTCCAAGTCAGCAAGCGCAAGCAGGGAGACAAGAGGGGAGACACAGGTCAAATAAAGAGACAAGTGATGACAGCAGGGACAAGCAAAGAAAAAAGCGGGGAGAAATATGGAGACAAGTGTTGACAAAGTTCAAGTCAGCAAGCAAACGCGAGCAAGAGACAAGTTGGAAGACAAGCCGTGGCAAGGTTGGAGGGACAAGTGTGGAGACAAGCCGTGACAAGGTCTGAGTCGGCAAGCATCGCCAAGCAAAAGCTTGGAGTCAAGTGGGGAGACAAGTGGGCAGACAAGTGGGGAGACAAGTGAGGAGACTGCAAGAGTACCAGGGGCAAACCATCTTGTGACGGGGAGCAACTCTTTGCATGAGTTGAGTAGAGCCAGCTGTTTGGGGAAAATACTTGGCGTTGGTCCGTCCTCAAAGAAGATCCGTCCAAACAAGAGAGCCAACTGCTTGGCCGGGCAGTTGCGGTTGGAGCGGCCACTGTTCACATAGTTGTCGACCATCATCTCTGCAAAGCCCACCGACAGCCTTGCTCCAAGCCCAATTGGTTGTGTTGAAGTAGGAAAACGGACCCCCAAAGGGGCAGGTTTCCTTTGGGCTTCCAATAAACAGGTTTTTTGACGACTCGACTCGCCTGTTGTACTCCTCCACTGTGCGTACTCTGAACTCTGAGTCGGCACCCTCGCCCCAGATTCGTGGATCTGTCAGGCAAGCCACAAAGGCAATGCAACGGCGGCAAAACGGCAAAAAAGGCGCCCAGCCTAGCTGCCCCAGCAGAATGCCCAGAACATAGCGGTGGCCACCCTTCCACTGGTTGACAGGTGGATAGCCTCGCTGGTGAAGCTGTATGGCTGCTTCTCGAAATGAGAATCGGTCCCCTAAAATCGTTGTTTACAGGGAAACCTTTAAAGGAAACAACCGCTCCCCTACTCTATTTGTTCCACCCTAAAACGGCAACAATGTCCTTCTGATTCCGTCAAATGCCAACCAAAGCGAGCGGTTCCTCCTTTTTGAGAAACTCCGGTATGTTCAAAAAAGCCTGAGCCCGGCACCGGTCCAGTGGTTGTTCTCAAGCATGGGGCAGGCCGCAGTCTTCCCCTGACGAGAAGTGACAACTTCTGATGTTGGGCTCTCAATGACATCCAAGAGTAGGCGACATACCCTCCCAACAATTGTGGAAGTGCAACAGGCCTTTCCCAGATAAAAAGTCTTCGGAATCCGCCCGGTCAGCTCCCATGATTGTTGGGAGCCAAAGTCGTGGAAGCTGCCTGTTGCATGACTTCCTGGCCTGCGGCTGGTTCAACATCTGCGACTCTTGAGCCGTCATCCCGGCGCACATTGGTCGCTCCTCCCTCCAATGAGGGATACCCAAGACCGGTGGAATGAAGCGTAGGCACCTCGCAAAAGGCTGCTCTCACATGCAAGAAGTGCCCGTGCTCAAAGGGTTGTTCTATCAGCTGGGAAGTTGGAAGAAGGGCAGCATACCAAATTCAAGGGAACCTCCCTCTCTCCCTTGGCGGGTCCCAACAAGAATTTGATATTGCCGGCACCCTCAGCTGCATTGTTTGCGTGAGGAAGGCCAGACAGAAGGAACCCATACTATCTGCCACCTGCAACCTGTGTGTTCCGTCGAGATGATCGATGTTTCGTGGAATCGCTTCGTTCTGTCGACAGGCTTTTGTCATCAAAATCATCTCATGTTTGGACGCCAGACCGACCAGTCCCAGTTTTTGTTTTATCCAAACTAGACTTAGACTATCATGGGCAGGCACAGGTTAGAATACATGGACGGAGTTCACCCCGCATAAGTAAGAAGACTTGGACCCAGCGTCTGGGTTTATACTGGATCCATCCTCAAAATGGCCCAACTGGATTCCCAAGTCTCCAGCCACTTCTCTTTAGGGGATCGGACTTTGAAGAGAAGAATCTGTGAAGAGAATGGGCAAGGCCGTTTACGTCTTATCCAAAACCCGGCCGAGGCGCTCCCAAAAGAACGCCAGCTCCTGGCCACGGGGGATCTGGGCTCCTGGCCTGGCGAGCGAAATCTGAGCTGACGTTTGGCTCAACTGACTTTCGGTTATAAAGGTTTATGGGCCCAAGACAACAAGGTAGAACCTGCTAAAGTGGGCGCTGCTCCTGTGGGTCCATCTTTTATCTCCTTTTTTTCCGGAGTTGCTGTTCTTTTTCAGGATGTCAATATGTTATATTGCATCTGTTAGTCGAGGGCAAAAAGGTGGTAAGTTGATTGCAAATGTTGACCCAGCTGTTGGGTGTCCTTTGATAGAACGCAAAGCAGGTGTCTAAACAACAAGTTGGTGTCTAATTAAAATGGGCGAGGTCGTTCTTCAAACAAATTTTACCCAACCCCACCTGCCTCGGGTTGCTGGAGGAGTTGGAATACAAAATGGCAAGGCCAGATCGGATTCCTCAGATTTCCAGGCAGCAGTTTTTGTTCTGAACGAGTTCGCATTGCCCAGGCTCCAAAGGGCAAGAAATGACCTCCTCCTAGCAGGAAGCTATCCAGTATCCTTGGCATGGACATTCCGCGATCAGGACAGACAACCCAAACAAATGGTTTATCCTCATGGGCTTCCTTTGGGTTCCCCCAAAACAAGGACCATCAAAAAGACAATGGTGTCTTTATGCTGCCAAACGACGTGCTTGCGAGTTGCACGCTGCAACTCTTGGTTGGCGATGGCGAGCAGTTCTGCATTTTCAGGCTGTCTCCCCACCTTGCCTCGTCACAGAAAATTTGCTGCTTTGAGGTTTCTGATGTCACAAGGCTTGCCGCAGGATGCAGACCCCAATAAACTCGGGATAGGAACAAACAAGCATCGTAATTGGTTCTCTTGGGGTTGTTTTGAGATGGAACCAAAAGAAAATCACCCATGTTGGGGGTTCCCTTTTGTTAGAGGCTCATCCACACAAAACATTGACCTACCAAAACTCAATCGTGCCACGCAACCTCTACCAAAGGTATGAAGCTCTCTACATAGGTAGTCATTGCATCTTTGATCTCCTCCATAGGCAGAAGATTGCCACCCAAGCTGTACAACTGCGGAGGGACGATCTGACCTTGGAAAAGCGGATCAGGCCTCAAGTCTCAACATGGGGCACGCCGACGTGTGCAATAATTTCCAGCACCAAGTTGCTGATCACGCCGTAATCCATCAGGCTTCTTTGAACCTAAAGCATTTGCCACACGTTCAAATCTTCAACCCTTGGATTCCTTGCCGAACACACCTTCGCTGTTGTGTTTCTTGCTGGCTCAACAAAAGGATATCCCAACTTGAATAGTCAGGTGCAGCATCCAGTCAATCTCGGATATGCACAGCCACCCATCCGGCAGACTAGTGCAGCACAGCTGCCTTAACGAAGTCTTTGGCATATGCATAGTCAACGGACCATCCAAATGTTGAATTCATCAGAACCTCTCAGAGTTCGGAACTTGAATTGGACCCTGGGTGGACCCCTCTCGATTGGCACCGAAAATCATGCTTAGGTGGCGTCATCCAAAAGTGGAGCCACACTGCGGACTGCCTACTTGCATGATCACAGTCTTCTGAGTGATTTTTTGGGCTTTGCAATCGAATCGATATTGCCACAAGCAGCTGCCAAAGGCACCAACAGTGCTGATGGCATTGGCGATGCTGATGATGCTGGCAAAGCTGGTAGTCATAGTGACGCTTGTGGCGCTGCTCTCTCATAAAATGAGCGAATCGATCGACAAAGGTAAACAAGAATCAAAGAATGTACTAAAAAGATGAATATATACAGATTCAATAGTTGTCTTTGTATATAGCATTGCTCTTCATTTTATTATGACTCCAAAAGAGAAGAACTAGACAAAGAAGACCAATAGATAGATGAAGCAAACGTAAGAATCGAGTAAAATGAAAAAGACAAGAATAGGTGAATCATTGAGTGACAATGCGAGAATGTGAAAGTATTTAACCTGCAAACCAAAGA